GGAGCTGGGGGGGTTGGTTTTTCACCGTTGGGAATTGTGGAATCGTAATTTCACGTATATAGAAAAATATAATATTTATAATATAAAATATAATATAATATTATATTATATATAATAAATATAATAAAATATAATATAAAATATAATATAATATTATATTATATATAATAAATATAATAAAATATAATATAAAATATAATATAATATTATATTATATATAATAAATATAATAAAATATAATATAAAATATAATATAATATTATATTATATATAATAAATATAATAAAATATAATATAAAATATAATATAATATTATATTATATATAATAAATATAATAAAATATAATATAATATATATAATTTTATATTTATTCGTAATCTTGATGCTAAAATAACTAAATTAAATAAAACAACGAAATTCACATTTCAAAAAGTAATTTTTTTCTACATTTGTTCGCGGTTTTGTCAAACGAAATGAATCTCGTCAGAAAGTATTCGAAACCCTTCGAAATTTTCGCTCAAACGAGTTGTTCCCTTTGGAAAACTAACTTATTTTATTTGTTTGCATTGAGCGATAGTTAAAAAAAAAAAAGAAACGGTATCCGAAAGAATTGAAAAATCAGCGAAACGGAAGTAACCTTCGCAAAAACACGAATCTGCTGAAAAATCGAGGGGAAAAGAAAGAATATATTTTTAAAAGTTTCCGCCTCGTTGAACTCTCTCTCTATCTCTCTCTCTCTCTGCTAATCTATCTTTCTCGTAAAATTCCGTAAAATTCGTAAAATTCTGATTTCTCGACTCGGTAATCACGTTCAACGGGATCGCGTTCGTCGTAGGAAAATTCCCGCGGAGTTGGTAAAATAATCGGCACATTTTGAACGCGCGGCGAGTCTCTCGTTTCCTTTTTTGAAACCTTGGAAAATTCGCAGGACCTTGCCTGGTCCGTGGTCGTGTAGAATCAGAAATTGTTTCTGTCGCGCTGTCGTTCACCGCGGCGGCATAAAACGGCGAAACAACGACGGAGAACGCCGAAACTCCATTACGGCTTTCCGCTGGGGAAAGTGAAAGCCCCGGAAACGCTAGACGCTCGCCAGCTTCCCGTTTCCACCTGATAACGTCGCGGGCCAAGCGGCCGATCGATTTTCCGCTCTCGGTCATCCTTTGTCGCGAAAATTTCACCGGAAGCCACCGGATTTCGTTTCGAGTCTTTGATAAGTCCATCTGGCGACGCGAGAGAGAGAGAGAGAGAGAGAGAGAGAGAGAGAGAGAGAGTTTTTTTTTGCAAATGTATGGACGCAAGTGTATTTAACGAGTTGCGGTTTTTTTTACGAAGTAGAAAGAAACGAGAAATTTCTGATTCTTGATATTAGATTATTATGTACTTTTCCGTTTGACAACGGAAGAAACGGAGAAAAAGAGAGAGAGAGAGAGAAAATTAATTTTTTTTTGTTTTGCAAATGACGTAAGTGTATTTTAATATACAATATAAAATAAAATTTATTTAATATAAAATATATAATATATAATATAAAATAAAATTTATTTAATATAAAATATACAATATAAAATAAAATGTATTTAATATAAAATATAAAATATAAAATAAAATTTATTCAATATAAAATACAAAATATACAATATAAAATATATAACAAAATAAAATTTATTTAATATAAAATATAAAATATACAATATAAAATAAAATTTATTTAATATAAAATATAAAATATAAAATAAAATTTATTCAATATAAAATATATAATATAAAATAAAATTTATTTAATATAAAATATACAATATAAAATAGAATTTAATATAAAATATACAACATGAAATAAAATTTATTTAATATAAAATATATATTTTGCGACACCTTCGATATTTAAATGTCCGAGCATTTAAATATCCGATAATTAATAGAGGATTCACTGTATTGTTAATTAATCTGTCATCGTCGACAGGACGTCTCTAGGTGTTAATTTATATGATAGATTTTTCACCTTTTCGAGGATGAAAAGATCAGCGTGTATTTATAGAAAAGGGTACAGGTTCATCTTCGTTTCGTCTCGACGAGCCAGTCGAGTCAGAGGATATATAGCTATTTGATTACCATTTCATGATTGATTGCTTCGGCTGGATAAACGTGTCTCGCGTCGAATTAGCGTCAGATATTATTTAAATAAATTATTAGAGATATTCCAACTGACGCGACGGTTCTTGAACTTTTTCCCGATTTATATCCCGAATCGTTTCTCCTTTTCATTTATTCCCATCGGGTCATCTGGTTTAAAATTGTACGTTTCAAGTGACGTTTCTTGGAACCATGGATTTTTGGGGACAGAACCTTTAATATTCAGGTCTTAAATTCTTCAGAGGTCACAGATGTTCAGATTATTAAATTCTGAAATATTTAAGTATTTTATTTTTAGTTTACGATTCGTTTATTTAATTCCCGAATACTTCAGTTCTCTGATATCTCAGTGTCAAATTTACGAATTCCCGAAATTCTCGAGTGTTTCGATTTTCATAGTTTGAGATTCTCAAATTCTTAAATATTCAAATTCTCAGACGTACAGAGATATTTTAATCTTCCAAATTTCCAGATTTCTATTTTCTAAAATATATTATATATTAAAATATAATATTTCTAATTTTTAAAATATATATTAAAATATAATATTTTTAACTTTTCTAACTTCCAAGTTTGCAAATATTCCAATTATCAAACGCACCAGCCTATTATAATTTCCAGAAATTCCGATTTCTGAATTTCCACGTTATTTCAATTTTCAAAGCTTGAAATTTCCAAATTTCCGAATTCCTAAATATCTTAACTTTCGTATCTTGGGATTCCGATATTCTCAAATTCTAATTCTCAAACGCGCCAATATTTCAGTTTTCTAAATTTTAAAATTCACAAATTTTTAAATATTCCAGTTCAAATATTTTAATTTCCGAAACTTCCAATTTTCAGTTTTTCAAATTTTCAAAACTCGAAGCCCCGGAATTCCCAAATGTTCCAATTTTCAAAAACATTAATATTTCCAATTCTCGAGACATTTCAGTTTCCAAATTTTCAAATTCTCAAATACCTTAATTTCCAAAACTCTATGGCCCGAAATTCTCAAATGTTCCATCTTTCAAACACATCGATATTTTATAATAATCCTCGAGACATTTCAGTTTCCAAATTCTCAAATTTCACTGTCGAAATCGATCTTCGAATCCCCCCACCCAAAGTAATTCCTAATCCCTCGAACGTTCGAACGTCCACAGGGGATTCCAAAACTGTTCAAATATCCCGATACTCAACTTTCGAACTTGGCCAAATTATTACCTTTCGATTCTATCGGCGTCGCGTTTCTCCGAACTTTCAACTTACATTTCGCATTTCGAATTCAACGATATCCTCCTGGAAGGAGGATTTCCCATCTGAAACATAATCGAGTATCACCGAAAGCGTGATACTCAATTTTCCCGCCTTTTTTTTTTCTCTTGCGGGGCCTTAATTAAATTTCACGTGGCCGGATGCCTTTCTCCCTAAATATTTCCCTGTTTGGCGAGACTCGACGTGAAAGAGAGGATGAAGGGGGAAAAAAATCGGCGGGCAAATACTCCAATGTTTTTCATGATACGTTGACCAACGTATCCAGTTGATTCGAACAGTTTCACCGGGGAGAAAATTGGGAAATTGTTTACGTCCGATCGATCTCCCGACTGGTGTCCTTTCTCCACGCCGATGGCGGCTGACCAGGGGGAACTCATCGAATTTTTCGAACGAAAAATCATCCGTTGGGTGTCTCTGTCCCCGATTCCTCTCTGATTCGACTCGCTCGCGTGAAAATGAAATATATTCAACGCGTTCTTACTCGAATAAGTTGATATGTACTTGGTGATTAAATAGAAACGGGTACGTCGTTGATTTTTTGACTCTGGTGTGTCGCTTTCTTTCAATTTTAGTTGCTGAGACTGAAAAGAAATTTGAAACTCGAGTTTGGTAGTAAAAAGTAAAAAATAAATATTGGTAATAAGATAGTTAAGGTAATTATTCTATATATGCAGTGATAAATATTGGCGATAAAAATGAAAATGTATAATCGTAGTTTCTATAGAGTTTAACGCGAGACTCAGAAGAAATATCAAACTTAAGTTTGGCGATAAAAAAAATATATATAGTTGTAATTTCTACAGAGTTTAATGCGAGACTGAAGAGAAATGTGATGTTATATTAATTAATAGAAATAATATATAAAATAATATATATAATATAGATAATATAAATAATATAAATAATATATATATAATATATATAATGTAGATAATATATATATAATATATATAATATAGATAATATAAATAATATATATAATATATGTGTATAGATAATATAAATAATATATAATATATAATATATAATAAATGTTATATTAATTAATATAGATAATATATATAATATAGGTAATATAAATAATATATATAATATATGTAATACAGATAATATAAATAATATAAATGATATATATAATGTATGTAATATAGATAATATAAATGATATAAATAATATATATAATATATAATATATAATAAATAATAAATGTTATATTAATTAATATAAATAATATATATATAATATATATAATATAGATAGTATAAATAATATATATAATATAGGTAATATAAATAATATGTATAATATATAATATAATATAATATAAATTATATATATAATATATAATATAATATAATATAAATTATATATATAACATATAATATAATATAATACAAATAATATATATATATAACATAGTATATGAAATCAAATTCAAACGAATTAAATAATAAAACTCGGACTCAGATTTCACTAATTAAAGAAAGAAGTCAAATTCAAACGAATTGAATAACAAAACTCGGATTCAAATTTAAGTAACTGAAAAAGAATGGAAATGGAAATGTTCTTCGAAAGCTTTCGTCTCGCGAGAATAATCCGACAGGCACGCCCCCGGTGTTGATTTTCTGCTTTCAGTGGTGGCGAGACCACCGGGTAGCTTGAGGGTCGGAGAAGGTGACGAGAGGCGGGAAAAAAAGAGTGGTGTATTCGGTTGAGGAAGAATGGACGAGAGTCGTCATCATCATCATCAGCAGCAGCAGCAGCAGCAGCAGCAGCAGCAGCCGCTGCTTCGTTCGATCAACAACGTGCACAGATCCTTCGTTAAGTTCATCAACAAGACCCTGCACAACGTCGTCCTCTACTGGATCGATTATCAAGGCCAGGCAGTCAGCTACGGTGTGCTGTCGCCTGGCGACTGCCTCGATATCAACACGTTCGTCACGCATCCGTGGATCTTCGTTGACCAAGAGACCAGAGACAGGTAGGATGATTCTTTGCGATAACGCTCTTCTCTTCCCTTGATGAGGATCCTTGAGGAGGAGGGACGGGGTGAGGGAATTTCTGAAACGTTGAACTTTGTGTGCTCCATCCTTTGCAACTTGAGCGCGTGTTCAACACGTTCTTCTCCTTCGCGTTTCCTTCGGCGAGATGCGTGACGTCGATGATCGAGCAGAGGATGATCGTTCGAGGAGGATCGTAACGATGTAATACTTCGTCTCTCGGGTAGTGCCAGTTGAGGATTGAACGTCTGTTTGCTTGAGAGGAAATTTTTGGAAGGAAACGATTCGTCACGGTTGTCGAATTCCACGTCACGTCGATTTGATTTCAGATCAGGGGAAACCTGTAACGCAAGATTGACCTTTCGGTCTTCTTGGGATCAAAATTTTTCGTATTCTACTCGTCGCGAAGATCGAACCTGGTCCAGAGGGGCCAACCTGATCGTACACTTGAAAAATGGCAAAAGAGTTTGTTGTCGCCATCTGACCGTTCTCTTTTGAAAAATGGCAAAGAGATTTCGACGAAATTCGAGAAGTCGAGCGTAGTTTGGGATTGTCGAACGTCTCGCTCTGAGTTAGTTCGCTGATTTCGTTCAAACTTTTTCGAAAGATTAGATTGCGACCTATAGTTCCTCCGACACGTTGAAGAAAGAATTTTTTGAAGAAAAGTCAAGGCCAAGGTCAATTTTGCGGCAGATTCTCTGCACACTTTTCCATCAGATCGACGGTGTAGAATTCGCCTGCGATCAGCCAAGATCAAAACAGACTGATTTTCGCAGAATTTTGTTAATTGTGAGGATCTGTGCGTTTTGGTTGGGCGTCGAACGAAGAAAGAGTTGTTTTGAAGAGGTAGATTTTGATTTAAACAACGGTTACTTGGTTAATGGAAAGTAGGGAGATGTAATTTCAACTAGCAACCGATTTTGCGATATTTTAACTAAGAATCTGAGCGAAGAAGCTGTATCAATTATAAGTTTCAGCAAAGTGAACGCAGTAACGTTATGTATGATAAGATAATTGATTACTCATCGCCAGTTCTTTTTTTTTTTTTAATCAAAATTATCAGTGTTCATTTCAAATTTTTATTAGGTTATTTTCTTTATACGTTAATCGTTTAACTCCTTGCGCTGGAATGAGAATTTTTTGTCAAGTTGCAACACACAAAATTAAAAATTGTGGAGAAATTTAAGTGTGAAAATGTTTTAAGTATATTTAAATGTAAAAATTGTGAAAAAATTTAAATGTAGAAATATTTCAAGTATATTTAAATGTAAACATTGTGAAAAAAATTTAAACATGATTTAAAAATGTTTTAAGTATATTTAAATGTAAAGTAACCCAGGCGAAACAAATGACAAGTTTATTACATCTTAAAAATTTTTATCCAGTGATATATCGACGAGTTCAAAAGGAAAAGAAAGCAACGATTTTATTGTATACGGTCACTCGTTATGGTCCGCGAACCAGTTGCCAGTCGCAAGGTGTTAAAAGAAGGTTCCTCACTGTGGAAGAAGCAGACAATTAATTTGCGAATGATGTTCGAAAGCGCGAGCGCTGCTAATTGATCGTAATAACAAAAATGACTTAAAAGTGAATTGAAAGTTAATTGAAAAATTAAAAATTAATTCTCAGCCAAAGTATTTAAGGGATCATCAATCTCTCTGTTCGAACGTTTATATATGTATATAATTATCGTAACATTTCGTGACGTAAAACAAGTTCACATTCCAGTACTGTGTCTTTCAGAAACCAAGTACCAACGTACAAATTCCAAAGTATTAAGTACTCACTTCGTACAAATTCCAAGTACTCGCCTGGTGCGAATTTCAAATTACCAAGTACTCACTTCGTATCGAATCGACTCTTTCTTCGTTCGACTCTTTCTCCTTCACCTCCTCCCACTTCCACCCATCTCGATCGAGGTTCGATTAGACAGATACGATCAGAGATGGTCTTTCTCGTCGAGATCGGGCGCAGAGGAAGGACAGGCTGGCTGGACGAGCTTGGGGGTTTTCAGGTACACGGTGAACCAGAGGGACGTGTTCTTCCCGGAGCCGTGGTTCGCCAGGTACCAGGGCCTCCGACAAAGCGAGCTGCCCCAGAGGCGCGAACGGACCAACGTCTACATCACACTGCCGGTTTACACGCTGCGCGAGCTGTCACTCAGGGCCATCAAGCGGCGATTGACGCACGCTCGCCAGGCGTTTCAGCTCGACATACCGAGGAGCCTTCAGTACGAGCTCGCGACCATGCTGCCGAGGAACGAGGAAGAGGAGGACGAGGAGGACGAGGACGCCGCAGCCAGCTCATAGCGATCGATCCGCTCCTCTGATCCATGGATCAGAAATCGTCGTCGTCGTCGTCGTCGTCGTCGTCGCCGCGACTTCGCCATCTCGCTTCGATCACCGATCGATAACGATTCTCTGCCAGCGCTGGCGGGTTGCTGTTGGCACGCTGGTTTCCCGGTGGAAAGCGCCTTCCGGTCTATTGGCTTTCGAGAGGAAACTTAGCTTGGATTTTCGGCTGTAGCCTCGGGAAATTGGTCTTCGAGTCGTGGGTGTATACTTTGCTTTTTTCCAGCGGATTTTTCATCAACGCGGAGTCTGTAACCTCCGCTCTGCGGTTGGCATCCGTCGCTTTGGGATCGTTTGGAATTTCATTGGCACTGGATTTATGGGAAATTGACAGCTGCGAAATGTAAAAACAGGCGTGACAGGTGAAACGAATTTTTTTTCCTTGCGAAAAAATGTTCAGGAAAATTTTAAAATGCATAAAACCCGCGCCTCGGCGAACAGGATCCAGTTATTTTAATTTTCAAGTGTTGCTGTAGATATCGTTGAATAAGTAATCGTTGACTTCGAGACTATCATTAAGAAAAGAAGAAAAAAAAAAAAAAAATGTACAGGACTTACTGCAAATGTCAATTGTTATATTAATATTTAAATGATCGATACTGTAATTAGCAATGTTTTTTTTTTAGTTATAATTAAATAATATCATATTTCCTACTTCACACGTCAATATTATGTTTTTAAAATTCGTTCGTTCGAAAGAAAATTGCATTTGCCTTTTAAACTCGTAATTACTATGATTGTGTCAATGAGATTTCAAGAGGTTTCCTACGACAATCTGTTCGAATACTCCAGCAGGACGCGATCGAGATTAGGACACGCGTTCGAAAACTTCAAATTGTTCATTCTATATAGCGTTTTATGGAAACACGTACAGATCTGTTGAATTGAGATTTCAACACTTCATTTTTAATCTATTTATGTACGTTCGTCCAACCTTCAAAACACGAACGAACAGTTACGTTCTAGTTATATTCTTTACTAAAGTCTCGTTACTTGAATTACATTCGTGAATTTACGTAAAAAATCGTTCTCACGTGGGAAAGAAAATTGTATCGACGTGTACAACAATTATCAATTAAATTGTTTGAATTGCTCGAATCTTAACGTCGCACTGATCGCAGAGATGTGTTCTAAATACTTATTGCGCGGCGGTGTAGTTCCGGTCAGACGATCGAATTGTTGAATAATTCAAGAGAGCAGCAAGAAGCGGGAGAAAAATCCTTCAGGGCAGGGGTGGGAAAAAAAATATTTCCACGGGGGAGTGTCTCGGATATTTGAAAACAAACCGCGTCGCAAATCCCTGGAACAAACGCGGTGGGGAGAAATTCGGCGGAAAAAAAAAAAAAAAAAAAAAAAAGAAAACCCGCCGATAGTCCGTGCTGAGTTACGTCGCTTTCCTCTCGAAACCGCGACGCATGTACATACGTGTAATATATATCTGTTTTATCGTTCGCGCGATTTCCTCGAGAGCCTGCCCGTTTTTCGGTAAACCAAAAAAAAGAAATTAGTACAGAAAAATAAATTAATTCATTTAGGTTTCGAATTAATTAATTAATTTTGACACACTAACTCGGAAATTATCACTACTTTTTTTTTTTTTTTTTTTTTTTTCGTCTGTTCATCGAGCATCGACAGGCTCTCGGTGTAATTTCTGTGTGTAATTTCACAAATTTAACTTCGGTAAAAATGAATTTCGGTAGCGAGGGACGACGTGATTTATCCGACGAATTACAATGCGGGCAAGTAAAGGGCTCTCGAGGTTAATGGAGAGACGTTTTCATTCGCTTTCTTTTTTTTTTTTTTTTTTCATTCGCCGCGGTTTCACGATTTTAATTTTTACCAGTTTTCTGATAAATGTTGCAAATAAATTCGGTCGAATGTCACAGCGACAGGATCGATGGATCGTGGTTGAATTTTAATTCAACGGCGGTAATCCAGTGTGACGAGCGTCCTTTTTTTTTTTTTTTTCCACTAAAAATTTAGCGAATGATGTTACACGTTTATTTGTCTCTGACGAATATTTTTTTTTTTTTTTTTTGTTGTTGTTGAAAAATAATCGAAATTGACTGCGGCGATGCATGAAGACAAATCGATTCTTATTCTATCGGTCACGATAACGTGACTGAGAAAGAAAAATATTGAAAAATGAAGAAATGGTAACTTGAAAATAAGATCTCGATTTTTTTCTCGTCTATGAAAAATTGAAAAATGGTATATTGTGCTGAAGATGTGTTCAATTCCGGGCTCGATCGGTACAATAGTTTCTGAGATATCTTGGGAAAATGATAATTGAAAAAAATACAGAGTTTTATTTTCACTTTACATTTGATAAAACATGAACTCGATCTTTCGAGCCTGTCACGCTGAAACACTCTCTTAAGTCACGCGAGAAGGTAAACATAATCATATTTTTCGTACCCCGTATTTTCGTAACGAAATCTCGCATAATTCTCGCTGATGTTGTTACTTTTTGAGAAAAAAAAATTAAAAAAAAAAAGAAGTCATTCTTCTCTTGTGATAAGGCGTACGAAGTCTCATTAACTCGATGTAAGTTACCCGATTTGTAAGTATTTTTACTCGCGAAACACTTTTAAGGTGATTAAACGACATGATGGGAGAAAAAAGTAGTGGTGATTTATTGTTTTCCTCGACGATCCTCCTGTCCATCGTTCCTCTCGCTTTTACGCTCGAGTTTTTCACCATCTGCGGAGGAAAAGATGTACGACCATCGTTCGTAAATAAGAGGCGAAAATAATGGGGAAAGAAAAATTTGGAAAAATATATTTAACTATACAGAGTGTTTCATAACTTGTGGGACCCACTTCGCCTGAAAATAATGAGAAAAAGTCATATAAATATATGTCCTATCTGTCTTCGTTTATGAGATATCATGAATTTTATAAACAGAGCAAACTCTAGTAAGCTAGCTTTACCAGGGATGGTATATTCAATTTTCATAATAATCATAATTGGGATGAAGAAAACCCACGTGTTATTGTGCATTCAAGACATCAACACCAGTTTAGTTGAAACGTATGGGCAGGAATAATTGATAAATTTTTAATTGGACCTATTTTTCTTGATGGGAAACCAACAGGCGCCAAAGTACGTTGATTTTTTGAGCACGCGTTTACACGAAATATCAGAGGAAGTTCCAGTCGATATTAGATTATTCGTATGCGGTTTATGCATGATGGAGCTCCGCCGCGTTTTAGCCGAGTGGCTNTATACGAGGAGCAAAAGGAATAAGAAAACCAAAAAACAAAAAAAAAAAAAAAAAAAAAAAAAAAAAAAAAAAAAAAAAGAGAGAGAGAGAGAAAAAATAGATGGCTTTTCGTCAGATTTTCGTCAGAACAAAAATTAGAAAAAACAACGGGAAACAGTTGTCGGACAAAAGTTACTCCAAATACAGGAAACATTCATTCTCGACTGTATCAAAAATATATAACGTTCGATTCGATCAAAAAATTAAAGCATCGCGAATCTCCGCTGTCGAAAAAATTGTTTTCATTCGCCAGTATATATATTGTACAGTGAGAGAGCGTTTTATCGTTGGTGGAAGAGTCACGAAAACGAAACCAAAGAGAAAAAGCACTTCGAACGGAAAATATTCCTCTTCCATTGTATTTCGAAACACATCGCGGTCCGAATTCCCCGTTATCGAACTACTTTGTTTCCATCATTCGCAAAAATTAAAGTATATTAAAATGAAGTATATTGAAATTGTTATATAAATATAATAAACATTCCGAGATATTTCCGCAAAACCTGATATAATAAATATTCCGAGATATTCTCCGTTTCTCTAATTAATTTCACCGACAATCTCGTATCAAACTCGAGCCGTTTGTCGAGCCGGTTTCGTAAAAATTCCAGCGGTCCTCGATTTATCGATTGATCGCTGTTTCGAAGTTTCCCTGCTTTCGCGCGAGGCAAACGAAAAAAGAAGAACGGAAGAGCAACTCTGAAAAAAATCTCAGCTCCTTCCGAACGAAGAGGAGAACGCTTCGTTTTCGATCGGGTTCTATCAAATCGGTAGCAAAAAACGAAGAGAACAGATGACTTTTCGTCAAACTTTTTCAGAACATAATTTAGTTGTCAACTATGGACAAAAGTTACTCGAAAGAGTTTGTACTTTTTCGTCGAAAATTTTCGACGAAATTTTTTTGTATGAAATAATTAAATTTAATAAATTTTTATCATATTTACACACACACATATATTTAGATTATTATTATTATTGTTATGAAAATATGCAATTATTTTTAAAAAATTTATGTATATATAAATAACATGTATATTCATTTAAAAATTAATAAAAAAATTAATTTACTTATTTTTACTTTTATAATTATATTTTTATTTCTATTCATTATATTTAATTTTATTAATAATGAGAGAGAGAGAGAGAGAGAGAGAGAGAGACAGAGAGAAAGAGAAGAATACAGAACGTGAAAATCAGTTGGTAACCCGGCCTCGTTTCCGTAATTCGTAAGTAGAGTTACGAAGTTATTAAACCGGTTTCCCCCTCCCCTGTCTGCCTGTAATCAAGCATGCGATCCGGTCTCGCGAACTTTCCTTCGGGATGCTTCCGTTTGCTGAAGCGCGTACGTGCGTTGATTAACCATTAGCAGAGTTAAGTACACCCTGGCTCGGAACACGCCGCGATACCACGCGACGCGTATTCATCTCGCCGCGAATAATAGTTACGCCCGCGTCGGTTCTTCGTCTCGCGTCGAATATTTCGGCGACGCTCTAATTTCTTTCTACTTCTTTCGTTCTGGTATATCATCGACCAAGTTTGACGTTCCTTTTTTGGGGAATAAGAGGAAACGTAATAATTTTTTTTTAAATAATAGAATTTTAAAATAATAATGTTCTTTTAAAATAGTAACATTTTAATATAATTGAATAATAAAATTTTAAAATAATTAAGAAATAAAATTTTAAAATAATTAAATGATAAAATTTTAAAATAATAAAATTGTAAAATAATTAAATAATAAAATTTTAAAACAATTGAATAATAAAATTGTAAAATAATTAAATAATAAAATTTTAAAATAATAATGTCTTTTAAAATAATAAAATTTTAAAATAATAAAATAATTAAATAATAAAATTGTAAAATAATTAAATAATAAAATTTTAAAACAATTGAATAATAAAATTGTAAAATAATAAAATAATAAAATAATAAAATATTAAAATTTTAAAACAATTAAATAATAAAATTGTTAAAATAATAAAATAATAAAATAATAAAATAATAAAATTTTAAAATAATAATGTTTTTTAAAATAATAAAATTTTAATATAATTAAGTAATAAAATTTCAAAATAATTAAATAATAAAATTTTAAGATAATTAAATAATAAAATTTCAAAATAATTAAATAAAATTTCGAAATAATTTTTTTTAAAATAATAAAATTTTAAAAAATAATAATAATTCTTGAACAAGAGGAAAATTGGGAGTTTGACGCAAGAAAAGATACGACATTCATTTATGAGAAAATTCGAGTGTACAATCGTAATTGTCCATCGCGAGGTACACGCGCGAAGGTGATCGAAAATTCTCGTCAAACCGAGAAGGGATTTATTATCCTCGAGTGCACCAAATCTCTCCAATTTCCCCCCACGAAATTATTATCTCCTAGATGAACATCTCCCTCGTGAAACACGAGTAAATCTCCAAGAACGAAGCACTCTTTGTTTCAAATTGATGGAACAATGACATGGCTTGAAAGAACGTTCGCGATTCACATCTTGATTCCTCCCCCCTCCCGATCTATCCGCCGGACATTGTACAGCCGACAATGGACCAGGAAACGACGCGAAGAGAATTGCTGATGACGATTCAGACTAGTCTGCGGCCATTCGCGGTCAATTAAATGCACGGCAAATGGACTCTGGTTACTACCTCGTTAATCTGGCCGGCTCCTAATGGATCTTAAACGCACCGCGAAATGTCACGTGAGTGGCGGAAATCTAACGAACCACCTGCCGGTGGTCTTACGACCGTGACCAGCTTTCAACTTCCCCCGCGAATCGGATATCCCCCTTTCGGGAAATGACCCGCGTTCTTTTTTTTTTTTCTTTCTGTTTTACGACCTTTAACCCCTTTTCGCTCCAACTGCATGAAAATTATTTGATTTGGCGTATAAAAATTCAAAAATCTTAGTTACGTTCGTTTAATACTTGAGAATTTATACGACGAGAGAAATCATAAAGTATCAATATATTCTATTATGCTGTAAAGTATTTAATATATTCTGTTACATTATAAAATTACGTTAATAGAGTAATAATTTATTAATATATTAATAATTGTGTCACAAAATATATTAATGTACTAACATTTGCGTTAATAAAATTTATTTATACTAACATTCGTATTACGTATTATATGGAACACATTAACGATGCATTAACAATCGTAACAATATATTGATATATTGAAAAATTTCGTATATACTAATATATGCAAAAACTAATACATAATAATATGTACATGTAATATGATATAACATATAAATATATTAATACAATAATAATCAATGTATTACGAAATAAACACACACCGCTTCAAGACTCTATTATCTACAATAATATTGGAAACAAAATGTCTTGAGATCCTTAAACAACAATATCGATCTCTCGAAGGTTTTATCATCTACACTAAATACCAAGTATTAAAAACAAATTTTTTTTAAAATTGAAATCATTATTCTTCCAAAATCGAAGAAATAAATGGATAAAAAGATATAAAATAATAATGAAAGATATAAACAATAATGAATAAAGGTATAATAATAATAATAAATAAATAAATAATAAATATGTAAAATAATAAAAAATAAGTAAATAATAAATATGTAAAATAATAAAAAATAAATAAATA